TTAAAGAAGTCCTTTAACATTTCTTATAGTACTGGCTTAGTGAAGAGTTCCCTTAGTTGTTTCCTGTCTGAAAAGCTCTTTATCTCATAATTTTTAATTGATAGCATTGCAGGATAGAGTAGTCTTGATTGTAGGTCCTTGTTTTTTTTTTTTTTAATCACATTGAATATTTTGTGCCAATCCCTTCTGGCCTGCAAAGTTTCTCTTGAGAAATCAGCTGACAGTCATATGAGAGCTCTTTTGTAAGTAACTTGCTACCTTTCTCTTGCTGCTTTTAGGATTCTCTCTTTGTCTTTAACCTTTGGCATTTAAATTATGATGTGTCTTTGTGTAGGCCTGTTCGAGTTTATCTTGTTTGGGACTCTGCGCTTCCTGGACTTGTAAGTTTATTTTCTTCACCAGGTTAGGAAAGTTTTACATCATTATTTCTTTAAATAGGTTCCCAGTCTTTTGTCCTCTCTCTTCTAATTCTGGTACCCCTGTGATACAAATGTTGTTATACTTGACATTGTCCCAGACATCTCTTAAACTTTTCTCATTTAAAAATTTCCTTTTTCCTTTTGTAGCTCATATTGGGTGTTTTCTGCTACCTTGTCTTTTGAGGCGCCGATTCAAACCACTACTTCATCTAATTTGCTGTTGATTCCTTCTAGTGTATTCTTCATTTCAGTTATTGTAGTCTTCATTTCTGAGTCCTTCTTTTTTTATGGTTTCTATGTCCTTATTTATGCTTATGATCTTTTTGTTGAAGTTCTCACTGAGTTCATCTATTCTTCTCCTAAGTTCATTGAGCATCCTTATAACCAGTGTTTTGAACTCTGTATCAGGTAGGTTGCTTGCCTCCATTTTATTTAGTCCTTTTTTCTGGAGATTTCTCGTGTTCTTTCATCGGGACATGTTTCTTTGTTTTCTCATTTTCGCTGCCTTTCTGTTCATTTCTATGTATTAGGTAGATCTGCTATGCCCCCCAGTCTTGGTTGGTGGCTTTATGTAGTAGATGCCCTGTGTGGCCCAGTGGTGCATTCTCCCTGGTCACCTGTGTCGGGTGCTCTAGGAATGTCCCTTATGTGGGTTGTCTTTGCTCTTATGTTGTAGTTAAGCCTTGCTTGTTGTTGGCACGTCAGTAGGTAGGACTGATTGGCTGACTGGCTGTGAGGATTGGCCATGCCCACAGCATATGAGCTGCTGTGTGTGGGCTGACCCCATGGAATGGGATTCGCCCCAGCAGGCTCATGTGTCTGTTGAGACCATGCTTTGGGTGTGCTGCTTGTGGGGCTAATTGGGTGATGCTCTATTGTGGTCTGAAGCTGGCCTTGGGATGTGTTGGTTCTGGGGCTCCTTGAGAGGGGTTCCCACATAGGCCAAGGTCAGCCTCTGCCTGTGACCAGCCCAGGACTACCTTGTAGGAGCTACAAAGCTATTTGTGGTTGGTCACTGCTTGTGCTGGACCTGGAGTTGCATGAGAGAGGCCACGCTGAGAACCGAGGTTGACAGCTACCAATACAGGGTCTGGGATAGCTCAGCAAAATGCCCAGGGTACTCTGAAGCCTGTGACTGCTTGCTGGCAGCCTGTAATGCTCAGCTGATGTAAGAGCCTCTGGCGGTACTTGAGTTAGGTGAGGTTGGGTCCCATGGAGTCACCAGGGTGGGGTGAGTGGTGTTTACCAGGTTAATGCTTTTTCACCAATTCTAAGCCTAGCTACTGAAGAAAGTCTCAGATCACTCTGAGGCCAGCCACCGCCTTCCTTGGGCCTGCAGACCCCCGAGATTTGTCCAAGAAAGACTTCAGTTTGGGTCGAGGCTGGTTGCCTACCAGTGAAAAGTGTCTCTGGTGGCGCTCAAGCCGAGGCTGGCTATTTACTGCTGAGTCTCCTGCTATGCGTAGGGCAGAGCTGGTTGTCCAGCCACCAAAAGTGCCTCTGGCGGTGCGTGCGTTGGGTGGGGTCACCAGGGTGGAGCCAGCCGAGTTCACCATACAGATTCAGAATCAGCTGTGTGCGGGGAGGGCTCAACACAGGAAAAATGGAGCCTGCCTGTGTGCTACAGGAGAGGAGGGCTCAACGCAATGATAATGGTGGTCGTCCAACTCTCTCTCAGAAGCTACACAACTCAGTCTTTTCATGTGTGTCTCTCGCACCTCCTGAGTTGTCGTCTTTCTGCCGGAGCCCATGGTGAGTGCCTGTGAGCGAGCGAGTCTGTGCGTGGGCCCTTTAAGGGACGTCTGGGTTTCCAGGTTCCTTTTGTCTCACTCAAATGGTCGGAATCCCTGCTAATTTTAACAGCCAGGTTTTTGGGGACTCCTCTTTCTGGCACTGGAACCTGGGCTGGCTGGGGAGCTTGGTGAGAGGTTGGGGCCCCTTACTCCTCAGGTTGGACCTCTGTAGCCAAGATTTCTCTCTTGATTCTCGACTGCCACATGCGGGTGTGGGACCAGCCTGTTTCTTGTCTGCGCCCTTCCTACCAGTCTAAATGTGGCTTCTTCTTTATATACTTAGTTATAGGAATTTTGTTCTGCTAGCAGATGGTTCTCCAGGTTGACTGCTCTATAACTTAGTTGTAATTTTGACGTGGTCATGGGAGAAGGCAAGAACAGCGTTTACTTACGCCACCATCTTGTCTGCAACTTTCCTCTCTGCAGTTTTTGTCACTGTAGTATTGACTTCTTTCTTAAAATGTTTTTCCACTCTTAGCTTCTGTGTCATGACACTATCATAATTTGTCTTTCTCTGACTATGGCACTTCATGCTTATATTTGAACATATATAGTAATTTCTTTATCCATTTACATTCATTCAAATCTTTATTGAGTGACAACAAAATACAGGTACTAAATATGTAGTGGAGAGCAAAACAGATATGGTCTAACTTTCTGAAATCCAGAATTTCAACCTTGTATTTGTTATCTATTGCTGTGTAACAAATTACTACAAACTTAATGGCTTAAAACAACACACATTTATTGTCTCACAGTTTTTATGGATAAGGCATCTGGGCATGGCTGAGCTCTGCCCTTTGCCTGAGGGTTTCTCACAAGCTGTAATCAGGGTGTCAGCCAGGGCCGGGGTCTCATTTGAAGCCTTGACTGGGGAGGGATCTGCTTCCAAGCTCACGATGGTTTGTCAGGTTTCGTTTCCTTGTGGACTGCTGGATTGAGGGTCTTAATTCCTTGCTGATTGTTGGCCAGAGGCCACTCTCAGTTCCTTGCTATGTGGGCCTCTTTATGTGGCAGCTTGTTTCATCACAGCCAGAAAGGAAGAGAATCAATAGAGATACTTGGCCAGCAAGATGGAAGTTATAACCTCATGTAATATATTCATGGAAATGACATCTTATAATTTTTATTGTATTCTTATGGTTAGAAGCAAGTCACAGATCCTACCCACACTCAAGAGGAGGAGATTACATGGGGCAAACATACCAGGAAGCAGAGATTTATTTATCGGCCGTCTTAGAGTCTACCTGTCACAAACCTCTTGTTGTTCTTCCCTTTGATGTTCCAGCCACCTCAATTTCTGTTTGCTCTAAGATTGAACTCACTATTCTTCTCTTGCCTAAAACTACATCTTGTCTTGTTTTCCTTGTTCTGGACAGCAGCCTCATATCCCTCCATTCACCTAGTCTAGAAACCCAGAGGTCATTTTCAATACCTCCTCCTGAAATGTATTGGGTTCCTAGGCCCTGTGGAGTCCTTCATATCATTCTCTACTTTCCATTCATGCTGACATGGCTTTAGTTCAGATCTCACTTTGGTCTGGGTCATTATACTAGCCTTCTAACTGACTTCTCTGCCTAGATTCCCTTCTCATCATTCCTTCTCATAACCTTCGGAGTTACTTTCATAAATCCCTCTGTTTAGAAACCTTCATGGCTCCCAGCCATCTTTGGCATAAAGGCCTAACTTCTCAGTGTATCATTCAAAACTTTACAATCCGGCCTCAACCTAACTATTACAAGCTTCTTGCCCACCACTCTCTGCTATTGCCCTTATTCCCCAGGCACACTGGGCCACTTGGTGTTTCCTGAGCCCACCCCTGCATGTTTGTGCCTCTGCATTTGGTTCTAGTTATTTATTCCTTAATTACCTTTTCCCTACTTCTTCCTCAAGAAATCTTTTATATACTTTCAAACCTGCCCGAAAAATTACTTCTTGCATGAAACCTTTTCCAAGTTCCCCCTGCCCACTAACGCCCTCGCTGAGAATTTAATCAGTAGCACCTGTGCGCTCTCTTTGTGCTTGGCTTGCATCACTCTTACATGACTGCTGTTTTGTAGTTTGTTGTCTGCTGTTTTCTAGTTGGTGGTTAAGGTGCCTCTCTCCTTTAAAACACCGAAGGGCAGGGTCTTGGTCTTATACTTCTGTGGATCTAAAGTGCCAGCTTCTAGAGCAGTGAGTCGCAATCCTGGCCGCACAGTGGAATCACCTGGGGAGCTTTCAACATCACCGATGCCTAGGAACCACCCCCAGAGATGATGGTGTCATTGGTTTCAGGTGCAGCCTGATGTAGGCATTTTGAAAAGCTCTGATTCTAACAGGCAGGTAACACTGAAAGCCACTTCTAGCTGAATAAGGAGAGATTCTGGGAGAATGAAAGGAGGCGAACATGTTAAACATTTAATGAATAGGAAGACTTTAAAACTAGGGTTAAAAATCACACACACATAAAACATATGTACACACACTCATTTCAAATAGTATATGACATAGCTAAGTTATCAAAACGATCTCTAAATGGATGGTCAATGAAATGGGAGAATATATATTTTTGTGGTAATGAGGGGAAATTGGAAACGTAAATGTAGTCTCTCAAAATCCAGCACTTTAATTTTTATGCATATAAAGTAAGCAATAAAACGAAATAAAGAACCACCTGAAATAATTAGCAATTCCCTTCTTACTGAGCACTAAAGTGTGTGTTGTGTGTGCTCTGCGTGTTGTGCATTTGTGTCAAAAGATGGTTGTTATACTTCAAATTATTCTGATTTCCTTCTTTACTTTCTAGGAATATTTTGAAAACAATTGCCCTGGGTCAGATGTTGTCCCTATGTATATGTGGAACAGCCATCACCAGCCAGTATTTGGCAGAAAAATACAAAGTGAACACTCCCATGCTTCAGAGTTTTATCAACTATTGCTTGCTGTTTCTAATTTATACAGTGATGCTGGCATTTCAGTCAGGTATGTCAAATGTAGGAATTGACCTTTTCAACAAATTATCGTCATAAAAATTTTTGGCTTCTAGACGTTTGAAAAATAAAACATGACGTAAAACAAAGAACAAGAAATGTGCTGTTTTTATAAAAGTTATTAGAAAATTATGACATCTCTGAATTCCATGAAAGTAGCAATTAGAAATTTATGTATACTCTCTTAAGTTGTTGATTAAAATAAGTAGCACCAAACTTTAACAGTAGAAGTTGTCAAAAAAGTGTAAATGCCATTACAAATTAGGTTTTTTATTTTTCCCTTGTGTTTGATAAAATTGAGAGACAATATTAAAAACAAAGTCTAGAACCTCACTTTCCGAAATACCTGTTTTTAACTAAGTGTAGAATGCTAAACTGGAGCATCAGTTGCATGTAGAACAAGTCTATGTTGTCAGGGAAACAAAGACAAGGAATTGCCAAGGAATTAACATCTTTATCACTGGCTAGTTAAGTTGTTTTAGAATCATTATAGAATGATCATTTCTTAGTAGCTACACAAAAATGGGAAAAACTAGATTCTGACACATTTTTGTGCTAGGCGTTATTTAACTTGTTTAGATTTGTTAACTCATTGAAACCTCCCAACAACTCAAGTGAGTATTGTCATCACCCCCACTTTACAGATGAACAAACTGAGGCATGTAGCACTAAAATAACTTGCTCTAAGTCATCTAGGTAGTAACTAGTGGAGCCAGGATTTCAATCTAGGCAGCCAGCCCCAGAGCCCATGCTCTCATCACCACTCTGCATTAGGGGCTCCTGTTCATGATGACAACCATCATCTCTGCAAGATAATAAGAGTATGGTATTATAAAACGAGTTAAATGAGATTGAATTTAGGAATGTGAAGACAATGGGTAACCCAAATCGATTGAGAAGGTGCAGTGCTTCCATTTTCATCATCTTTATGGCATATAATAAAATCACCAATGTGGTGTTTGCTAATCCTCTTTTAATATGAACCTTAAAGCATCACTGGTATTCCTATGTGTAAGTATAAACTTATTTTTGAAAGAAAATAGAAGCCAGTTGTGGGAGAGCGGAAACCATCTGAAGGGGAATGAACCAAATTTGGCAAAAGCTTTGACTGGTACGTGGTTAATAGCCCCGGACTTTGCTTTCTCTGTAAGCATTGGCCTTTAGGAAGTCAGTACATCCCTAAGGGATGGTTGTTAGGTGCCTTCCATGCCATCTCATGTTGAAAAAGACTATGTTTTCGAGATGTTACTGCTAATTGGGTTTTAATGATAATTATCTGGTTATGATTCACACTACCTTTATTTCCTTGGAGGTTATAAAGCCAACTCCATATCTCCTGTGATGCTAGATTCTCCAAAGAAATGAATCACAGTTATCTTGAATAAATAGAATTTGGGGAATAAAAGGTGTTTCTTCAGTGGCGCCACTAAGTCTTTTTTCCAGACTTATCACTGTCTTAATTTTCTCTTAAGATCACATCTCTTCCAAAAGAATGGCCACATCCCAGAGTATCCTTTGAAGAAGCCCATGAATGGAGGTTCAATAACCAATTCATAAGAAAACATTCATTTCCTAGGATAATCTGCAGCTTGTCAGGAATGGCAACATCATCCAAATTCATATCTGGATATTTATATTTCTGTTACAATTAGAAAAGAAATTTAACCATGTTTTTCCTACTTACTTTCTCTCTGGTGCTTTCATTGAAAGCTTAGTCTGTGATAACACCTTAGCTTGGGTCTCATACTACAAAAATCTGACTGCTGAACGGTTGTAGAAATTTGAGTTATGAGTAATGGAAATTGAGAGGGGCCACATGCAAAATATACAATAAACCCTAAATTAACATGCATGGCATTGTTTTTAAGTAACGTGTACTAACCCACATTTCTTTCAAGCAGGCAGTGATAACCTTTTATACATCTTGAAAAAAAAATGGTGGAAGTACATCCTGCTAGGTCTAGCCGATGTGGAAGCCAATTATCTGATTGTCAGAGCATACCAGTATACGACTCTAACCAGTGTCCAGGTAAGAGGAAGTCCTCTGGCCAATATGGATTTTACAGCTTTAAAGAGAAGCTGAACTCACACCTGAACTAACATACGTTAAGCTAATTTTATTGAAAACCTGTTCATTTGAAGAGAACCCAAACACAGGTGGATGCAGCCTGTTTTCCAGAGGAGCATCTGTGCTAATGAGTGAGGTTTCCGGGAATTAGTGAAAATGTATCCAAGTTAATCAGTTCCCAAACTGCAAATGCTGTAGCAGATTAGAACAGTTTCTACCAAAATAAGCACAAATATTTAGTTGGCAATTGATGCTGTGATGTTGACAAGAGTTCTGTTTTATGCATAGCTTAAACGTGGCTTACAAAGTGGGTGTACCTTTGTGCTACAGAAAAGTCGGAGGTTTGCAAGTGAAGTAGATATGCAAGACAAAGGAGCGGTTGGAAGGAACCTACTAAACATCTTGGGTGCAAATGATAGTCAGAGGCAAAACTTACATCCTTATTCCTTTATTAGGTTTTTTCTTGCTGGATTGAAGGTAAAATGTTCTGTTATAGCAATACTTTTCATCTTGGTGGAGTTGAGGAAGATGGATTCAATCGTCTTACTGTTAGCCAACTATGGGATGTATCAAAACACTGACTCACCATGTCTGACAACGAAATGTTTTATAAATGGAGGTGAAAGTGAGATAGACTTCATTGCCAGGTTTAGACTTCACAGTTTATTGAATTTATAACTTTGATGCAGTGCTTTTTTTACTATATAAAACAGAGATGTTCTTATTTGATCTCCACATTATAGGAATGTGGAAAAATTGAAGTGAGATTAGACTTATTTCACTTAGAAAAGATAGAATTGATGAAAATTCAGTAGTTTTCCAATGTGAATATACATTCGATGCTATTATTACCAGAATGTGTTTTATTAAATACGTTCTTTTCTGTAACATTGTTTTAAGCATAGACCTCAGCAAATCTCTTGGTTTTTGACTGGCATGGGTTTAAAAGCACAGATAAGGAATATTTGTTAACAGATATTCTAGGAAGTACATGAAAAACGCAGAATTTCATAATAATTACAACCAGGAGTTACCTAGAGGATGAAGTTCATCACAAATGGGATTAAGTATACATTTAAAAAGGGTAATGAGGGTATAAGTATGTAGGAAATATCATTTTTATAGTCACATCTACTCTTATAATTTCACATACAATTTAATTACTTGATTACAATTTCCAGAAACTTTGATCTCTGACTAATGATGATTAGAAGTTCTGAATCGGTGCAAGGCATAAACATAAAGGCTTTGTTAAACAGAACACTTACAGTTGAGTTTTTGTGACTGAGGTTCATGCTTTACACTATCAATAATTTCTTTCATCCTAGCCTCTTAGAAAAAGTTATGTACTTACAGTTTTAGCAAGGAGAGTATTTTTAAAAAGGCATCTAAAAACTAAAGCTCCCTTCAGCAGTGGAGAGTGCCTGTCGGTGGAATTCTTTTAGCTTATTCTCTAGTAAGTCTCTGGCCTGGGTAACCCGAAAGGGTGGAAGTTGGAATTTGATGGTCTTTGAACCTCCTTCTTAAGGATTCCTTCAAAGATTCTGTATTTACAACTAGTAATGTAGTTTACAAAAAGTTGATGATGTAGCCATTGGCATCCCCTGGCCTAGGTATCTACTCATGTCTCCTCCCACTTTACTGCCACATGTTTGTCACCCACAGTTGAGTTCTTCTCTCTTATGCTACTCTATCCTTTCTAGAATGCAGCCCTTTCTGAAGCATCCCTTCTCCATTCTCTAATGCCTAATTCGATTTTACTTTCTCTTCTATACTCCATTGTATCTCTAATAAAGTCTAACTCAGTTTTATACCTAACTCAGTTTTATGCCTCCCTCACGCCTCAGAGTCTGGCTTAGTACTTTGCATACTGTGACTATTCGAAGATTAAGTTAAATAGAGACACTCTTAGAAATGAAAGCATCAAAGAGAAGACATCTGTCACCAAGAATACATTTTAAAAGGTGATTCAGTGTAGATAAATGACAATGTGATAGATGTCAGATAAGTCTTAGAATTTTAGAGTTGGAAGCGACTTGTGAAATCATTTGGTCTGATACCTTCATTTCATATTTTGACTCAGATGATGACTGGCTGGAGATCACATAGCTGGTCAGAGGCCTGAAGCCTCCAGAACTCTTACCATGACATAGGCAGCTCCCTTATATGGCCACTCATTGTCCACCAAAAATTGTTAAAAAGAGAGCAAATTTAAGTTTCATTTTAAGACACAATTTGAGGATGGGATGTCTCCTATGAGAGTTTTTAGAGTTACTTATTCCACTTTTTTGTGTTTAAGGAATGTAGTTCAGATTTTGTTAAGTCATCATGGCAGGATCCCTGCTGGTGTCTTCTGGGACTAGCTATTATCATTTGTATTGTTTAATGCTTTGTTATTCAGGCAGGCTCGATAAAGCATTTAGGAGATTAGAGTTCTGCAGCTGGAATAAGTAACAAGGCAAGGTGCCCATTCCTGCACATGGTGCTCAGCTCCAGTAATGACATTGCAGTGAAAGGCAATCAGTAAACAACTTTGGACAGGATCAAACAGGCTGCTGGAGATTTAGGGGCCGGCCTTGTCCAAGATTAAACCCATACAGAGAGAATCAGGGACAAGGTTAAAAGAAGAACAAAGTGAGCAATAAAACAGCAGACTTGGAAATATTATTAGTATAAAGAATATATTTTATCTTTGACTGCTTTATGAAATTTGTGAAGAATTGAGTGAATGAAATCCCTTTCCTTTATTTTACAAATGATTTTGGATTTGCTATAATCTTGGCACCTTTAATCCCCCTGCCTTTCAGACTTGCAATATCAAGAGTATAGCAAGTATTTTCTGGACCCAGGATCAACAGGCAATGGAGGAGTATATGGTGCAGATGAGCAAGAGTATTTGCTGTGAGCAAGTGTCTGTTTTACATGGTGTAGCTGGATGACATTTTGTTAAGGAGATGGTGCCTGTTTGCTTTGTCATAATAACCAGTACTTTTTGTAGCTCTTAGCCCAGTTGCAGTTGATATCTAGTTGTGTGATTATTCATTCAATGTCTAGCCTTCTGTATGCTCCTGAGGGCAGGGCTTGTGTCTCTCTTGTTCTCTTCTATTTTCCAGCTCCTCACAGGTCTCCCACATGCCAAGTGCTTAAATATTAGTTGACTGAGTGAATGGGTACATGCAGGAAGGAAAGTCTGCCCATTGGACTTAAAGATAGATGCAGGTGGGAGTGTAGAGGTACATTGCACAGGCCCTCGAGCAGAAT